TTTATCATGCGTTTTGTTCAAATCGAAAAAACAAAATTGAGCAAGAGAAAATATGATGTAAATTAATCATAAAAGCATACTATGTCTCTTTCTATCCAAAGGCGTGACCTACTACAATTTTATTAATTGAAGTGAAAAGTACATGTGCTTCGGCCATTAGCACTATTGATTGTAAATGCACTTGTTCTTATGTAAGGCCCTGTCACACTTCTGCGTATCCTAATTCCTTATGAGTTGCGCATTGACATTTTTTTCATACGCAGTCGTACGCACAATACGCACCTCATATGCATCTCTATCGTTTTGTGTAAGTTTTATGTACGCAGGCATACGCATGGTACGGCCCAGTACGCTGGATAGTTTTGGGCATGCACAAAACTATGCTGCGTACGCTGTTACGCAGGTCATAAGTTATAAATACGCAGCGCATCGGTCCCGTATCGGTCGAGCGCGGTACGAGTACGCTATGTGTTCGTGGGGGATAAGCGGTTCATACGCGGTAATACCGCTGACCTCCCGGCACGCACCCCGTCAGCATATGAGCCGCCTATATTGGACGCATACATAGCGTACTTGCAGCGCAGATACAACTCACGCTGAACGAACTCATAGCGAATGCCTACGTATTGCACGAATGAGTACCGCTCGTCTTGCGAGCGGGCAGCGCATTGTACTTATTCGTAACTTATGAGAAACGCACAGATAGCGTACTTGTGCACTGCAAACGCAACTCATACGCATCTCATACGCAATGGATGCGCTGAATTCGTTACTTGTACGCTAGATGTGCGGTCGCACATAAGTCAAAGAAATCAAAGTTTTTGACGTTTTAAGCGTACGGCTGCGTATTGAAAATTTTTGATAAGGAACTCATAAGGAATTAGGATACGCAAAAGTGTGCCAGGGGCTTAACAAAAAGAACCCAAATCCGTCCTCAATAAAGGAAATAAAAAGTAAATGTCATTGTATTGAGTGAATTTCGTTTTTCTCTGTTTTCCCTTCTTTAAACCCTATTAGGTCAGCCTGAAATTTGGTGAATGGGAGTCGTTTGAGTAGCTCATTTAAAGTTACTAGACATCAACATTAATTGAAATGGCACAAGAAGAAATTAATTACACTACGAATTAATTGATACATTTTAATACACAACGGAGTAACATTCATACCAAGCGTATGCCATAATACAGGTAAATGTAGCCTTTAAGCAGGGCTATCACAGGAACTGCATGAAGCTGGTTGTCAATAGTCTCGTCACTCACTGTTGGTTTCTTCAAAACCACTAGATTCTGAAACAATGAAAGAAGAGAAAATCCCATTCAAATACAGTTCTTAATATCATATTTACAACAGAAAAAAATCCGCCGACCTCAATAATTAGAAGCCGTTAATGTGGTTATATGACGATCTCACGCGCAGGATTAGCATGCGATATTATAATGCTCCTTTGACCAATAGGGTTCCCAACATGCGCGCGCATCACCTGATAATCACTTCGATTAGTTTGTATGGACTCATTGTGTGACACTTGATTTATTATCAAAAGTGTTTGATTCGGATTTTAAAACGCAGATGTCAGAAATAATCAACCCAGTGTTTTGAATTCAGTGAGACCCAATGATATTTGTGTATTATATACCCTTTAGTTTGCTGCTTATAGTTTGTTTCGTTGTTTGTGCTATTTCTATTTTTAACGTTGTTTCTTGTGATGAATCAAAACCTGTCTGTGTTCCTACCGACAATGCAGATGACCCCGGCATCTTGGCTGTGGCTGCAGGTGGTTGCTGTCCAGCAGTGAGATGGGCAGTCAACGAGTCCCCCCTCCGAGCCGGTACAGGCCACGCCCTTCATGTGCACCGGGCCACTTCCTTCCCCGTAGTGCGCACCGGAATTGGCCTCCTCGGCACCGATGTAGCCGAGTTGTCGGCAGACCACCCCGGCATCCGTGATGTCCCAGTCACGGTCGCAGATCGTTCCCCACGTGAAGTCTTGGAAGATCTCCACCCGGCCACTGAAGTAATTGGGTCCTCCCTCCAACCTAACAGTATCTGTTTCAAGTACGATTCAGGGAATGAATAAAGCTCAGTCAACATACCACATGACGACCTTTTGTTTCATAATGTTTAAGAAAACCACTCATTATCCGTACAAAAATTGACCCATCGAATGGCAGCCATCTTGGAATTAAGTGCTTTTCCCGCTTATTAACCATTGATGCATTCAATGTTATCAATTGAAATTTAAACAAGGCCAAAATGGCAGTTTTATGAAAAAAATGTGTTCGGTACTTCAAATTATCTGAATGAAATATCGGAACCAAACCATTTTTTGATTTATATGATTGACCTTAGCCTACATTTCCAAACAAATAGCTGGAGAAAAGGGAGTAAAACGTTTGAGGTGACAAAATAATACATAGCTCGCAAGAAAACAAACTCAAAACGGGAACATTCCAACAAGGAAACATGAGTACAGTACGGGGAAGGAAAATATCGAAATCCAGTTAAATTGGGGGATTGAACATAATCATAAAGTACTGTGACATTAAATGCACCAAGGAATAAAAAAAAAACACGCCTAATGAACCAAACATTCAATTTTGATAAGAAAAAGGAGCAATGTATTCAGTTATAATCAGGCGGACTAAAACTGACACCTACTTTTTAGGTTGCAAACTACTCCGGCAACGTTTGAGCTTTCACACTGCTGGTAGTTGTTGCAGATAAACGGGCAGTCGACCAGTCGGCTCTCCGTCCCCTCACAGGCGACTCGATTCATCATGATCGGCAGGTCGCCTCCCCCAAATTCTGAGGCTGTCATGACCTTGCTTGCAAAACCGAGGTCCAGCTGACGGCACACCGTGTTGGCGTCGTTTATCCCCAGTCATTACCACACACCACTCCCCAGGTTCCTGTTTCGTGACGGTAGATTTCCACTCGGCCACTCCAATCGTCAGTGCCATTCACCAACCTCACATGACCATCAGGGACTGTAAAATAATTTGCCATTTTGAATTAAACTATAAGAATGACTGCAAGTTTAAAAAGTTAAAAAGGTTAAACTATCAATCAATTGTGATATCAGCTTCACTCGTTTTGTTTTAGTTGATCTAAAAATAAACAATGTATACAATGTAACGGAAAAATCAAACACTTTCATCGATCTTCAGGACATTTTGTTGTCGATTAAAAAAAAATTACTGAATTAGTTTGAATGTGAAACGAAATATCCTGCAGATAGAATAATTTAATAACGCTTTAATTTGAAAAAAAAAAAAAAATCCAATGTAGAGGTCTGGCTGTCAAATGTCATGTCTTAAAGATCTTTAAATCATTTTTGAACAACATGAATGACTTCGCTCAATGTGATTTTTCTAACGAATCAATAGCTTTATTAAGTACCTTGGCATCCGAATACCTCAAACCTCACGTAGTAATAGGAATCTTCCCAGGCCAGTGGTAGTATGCGAACAAACCTTGTAAAGGGTACCACAGGAAAGGTGACATTCGTCGGCCGACCACTGCTCAAGGTGAACTAAAAATATAAAAAAAGGCAAAAGCAGGATTAGAGTGAAAGTGTGCAATTTTCATTTGGAACATTCCGGTACATGCCGGTACAGTTCTAGGAAAAATATATTTGTTGCATAGGATGATTTTCCCTTACATGGCTGCATGGGTGAGTCATGGAAAATAGTTTGCCTTTGGTTTGCTATATATAGCTCCAATTACCATAGAAAGTAATAAGTTATGACAATTTAATACAGGTGTCCCATTTACATTTAACAAAGTTTTATTATAAAAAAAAAATCGGAACATAATCATTATTTCGAT